ATAGATACCCAAAAAGTTCATGTAATTAATCTTAACTGCGGTCGCATGACAAGTTATATACTATATGAGGGGTTTATTAAAGTCACATCGAGTTAGGAAAAAGAGGACAATATTGTATTATTTCAATGTAAATTCGCAGAAATCGAAATAATCGATTTTACCCGGGTTTAAACCTTCATGCATACACAAACACACACATACACATATTGTGGTTGATTCCTTATTCCACTGACCTGCAATGACACATCCAGGCGTTTCACAGATCTTCAAACGTTCTGGTGATGATGTTGTCATTGTCTTTATGTCCACTGAGGTCGCTTTCTGAGCTGTGATCATGTATTCTGGTGTGACAGACGTCGCCGTGATCTCGCGCGTAACAAATGACGTGGAATTTGAAGTGAAGTTCTCCTGCTTTCTCGTGTTAATGGTGGTGAAGGCAAAATCTGTTACCGCTATGTTGTATAAAAGCAAAAGCATAATTAACAAACTAAATTACTATCTAAATGTGATTTATTAAAAGCTAAAATCATGACACGTTCAACAAGAATTATTCATATAATTAATTCCTGAGCCTACTAACAATTAATTTTTTCTTTTTTAATAAATAGAATGAACAATATTTTGACGGTTTTAGATAATAAAACAATATAGTTAAATTAATTCTTCTTTTAAGGTTTACTCTTACGATTCTTTAATCACTAGCTTATCAGGAGGTTTTGAGGAGCATGGAACCACCTCTTAATTGCTTATGTTCCCAGTTCCACCTTGACCTGGGGTGGTAGCACTTGTTAGGGTCCCAGCTTTGGGCAAATAGTTAACTATTCCCAGCAATAATTTTTTGAAAAAAAAATATTACCAGCAATAAAAAAAGTTTGTTGGCATTAAATAACCTATTGAGGTTGATATGCCGTAAAAGAAAATTAAACCAAACCAACTTACAGCCATCACCTTAATACTCCAAAACTAATATTTACTTCTACGGGCTTCTGCTAATTCTTCTGTGGAGTGGGTAATTTCAAAATATATTTCTATCAAGAAATCTTCTGAAGTTAATGTTTTGTATAAAGAATATTAAATAAAGAAAAAATGTCACTGTTTAGTTAACATTCCTTCCTCTTCCTTAATTAGTATTCACTGCACTGGTGATGTGACTTTTTAAACGATCAAAATTTAAAGTCATGTCTTGACAGAACACGGTTTTGTGAACTATAGGCATCAAAGAGAAGATATTTTCCGCTTACATGGGTAGAACACAACCTTTTGTAAGATGGCATGCTGGAATAAAGACAACGTTTATGAAATCCACTAGCTTTCCTTTTCAGTATTGGGGAGAAATCCTGTGTGTTAGTTTACTAGAAAACTGATTTGCTTTTGTTTGCGCTTATCAAACTTTTGTAGGTTAATTAAAGCCAAAAAATATATTTGCTTGTAACATTTTTACAGATAATGATTTCCTGGTGAAAGTCCTACTAATTAACCCCTAGCTGTGGGAAAGAGGTGCATTCTTACTTTTCCTAAGGGTATTTGTGCGTAAATAAATATAACGGACCCGACTGTAACATGAATTCGGCTCTCCAATTTCCAATTCCGAATCATCATTCATTACACCTCCCACGCATCCAAGTTTACAGCACTTTGTATTTCCAAGAGGTCACCCTATAAGGTACTGACCAGGTTCGACGTTGTTTTTTTTTAATTTCGTTTAACGTGGCAGAACCGGTGTTTCAACGTGATCTGGCCGTAAGCCTGTAGATAACAGAACTTTTATCTCCATTTTTTGCCTTATTTCTAACAGTTTTACTTATCTATTTCAAATGTTTTTGATATATAAACTGACGACAGATATTAATGAAGCTTTACCGCATACATGTGTAAACCAAACAGCACTTTTTATAAAAATATTTGCTATATCTGTTAATGATAAATGGACTATGAAAAATGTTGTATCCATTTCCATACTTAATGTTTTCTGCCACTATATCATCATTAGGGTGAATTAAAGTTTTGGTCCAACGTGTGACATCACGCATGGCATAAACAAAAATAATTTAATCATAAAAATACCCTACCAGAATTGAAAAATGGAAACCTTCTTCCTAAAACATGGAAACTAAAAATTTATTTAAAATCGCAAATTATTTTTTCTTAGGAAAATCGATGGAGCAGTTTTTCGCATTATACCGCCAACGATGTTCTCCGGTGAAAGGTCAATTTATTGGCAGTTTTTGAGATGGAAATCTGAGTGTTGATACCAAATTGTTATTTTTACAGTTTGAGAAGTTTTATAACGAATTGCATAAAGATCTGGTATGGAAAATAATATAATGGGTTTAATTATACACGTATATAGGCCGACTTTCTCTATAGTGCGCCCCCCCCCAATTTTTTGCATGAATTTTAACCCCTCCAGAAAAAATTACCTGTATATAGTGCAACCAGTCACCGAGAATGAATGATTTTTTAACCTCTTCAAAAAAACATTACCTGTGTGACACCACCA